ACTGATGAGGTGCAGTGTCAGGTAATAGGGTGGGCGGAACATGGGTGGATGGTAGGTTTTGAAGTGTACAGTGTATGTTGGCGACGGACTGGCAGGTAGACAGACAGGTAGACAGACATTTAGACAGGCAGACAGACAGGTAGGCGGCCAGTTAGGTAGACAGGCAGGTAGATAGGCAGACAGGTAGATGGACAATCAGGTAGCCAGGCAGGCAGACAGGTAGATAGACGGACTGGCAGGTAGACAGACAGGTAGACAGACATTTAGACAGGCAGACAGGCGTACATTTAGACAGGCAGGTAGATAGACAGACGGGTAGATGGACAATCAGGTAGCCAGGCAGGCAGACAGGTAGATAGACGGACTGGCAGGTAGACAGACAGGTAGACAGACATTTAGACAGGCAGACAGAAAGGAAGGCGGCCAGTTAGGTAGACAGTCAGGAAGATAGACGGGCTTACAGGCGTACATTTAGACAGGCAGGTAGATAGGCAGACGGGTAGATGGACAATCAGGTAGCCAGGCAGGCAGACAGGTAGATAGACGGGCTGGCAGGTAGACAGACAGGTAGACAATCAGGGAGACAGGCAAGCCGACATGCTTACATGTAGACAGGCAGGTAGACAGACATTTAGACAGTCAGGCAGACAGGTAGATAGACGGGCTGGCAGGTAGACAGACAGGTAGACAATCAGGGAGACAGGCAAGCCGACATGCTTACATGTAGACAGGCAGGTAGACAGACATTTAGACAGTCAGGCAGACAGACAGGTAGGCGGCCAGTTAGGTAGACAGACAGGAAGATAGACAGGCAGACAGGCGTACACTAAGACAGGCAGGTAGACAGACATTTAGACAGGTAGGCAGACATGTGAACAGGCAGGTAGACAGTCAGACAAGCTTGTGGGTAGAGACATTGAGTTCACTGGATGATGCAATGTGTCTTCATTATTTATGCTCTCCACTTGGCTATTCCACAATGATATCAGCGGTTTTTGAAATAGAATAATAACGTCATTGTTACAAACTACACTTCATACCAACCCTTGACGCCTCCTGGAAACCGGCCATTGAACGAGATAATAACTGTCACCTTACATCTCGTGCTGGTATTGACACAGACGAATACACAGGCGAATTTCACAATTCTCCTTGAAGAGGAGTGTTCTCCTGCAGTTATGCAAGTCAGCAGAGGCCATATAAATACAACGATGAACATGTATTTGCGAGTCTGTTCATTCGTTTGAACATTGCGTTCAGTGGCCTAGATGAAAGTAAGTCACTTAGAAAAAAAAACATCGCTGCGCTCAAACACTTTACGACTCTATTCATTTTGAAGAGGCTATACACAGGTAAGAGAGCCTGGTGGGATTCAACTCTCCTGTTACCACCAACACTTGGTCATCCTACTATTAACCACGAATAATCCGATTCGTAAATGTTTTCACGATCTTATTTTATTGGCACGGGGGCACAGTCGTGGAAGTGACCATAATTCGTCGTGTCCCTTGAGGCGTCTTCACACGACAAACTTAATATGTTAGCCGATTTATCTTTGAACAGCATGCAAACTAAATTCAGTTTGTGAAATTTGACAATGCAAACTGTTGGCTAGAAACAGAATCGGACTCTAGTCTCATCAAAAGTGTTATATATATATATATATATATATATATATATATATATATATATATATATATATATATATATACAAAAATGAGGTAAATGTTCACTCGGTGTACATGTAATATATAATAAAATAATAAAGTCCACGTTAGTCCATCATCTTCTTTATATCAGTTTCATACATAGTACTTTCGCTGTCTCATGACAGCTCTTCAGTGTAACTGACAATGACTGTCACTGAAGAGCTGTCATGAGACAGCGAAAGTACTATGTATGAAACTGATATAAAGAAGATGATGGACTAACGTGGACTTTATTATTTTATTATATATTACATGTACATATATATATATATATTTTTTGTTGTTGACAGTTTTCAGACTCGGTTTTGACGTGTAGATGGTGGCAAACATATGTTGGTTGCTTTTAACCAGTCAGATACTGCTTTGGCATCAAATGATTTGTACCTACTTACAAAATGGCGCGAATTTGAGAGACGAGAGGAATGAGGTAACAACGTCATTCATCTGTCGTATGAAACCACAAGTTGGCAAAGCCTGTTTTCGTGCTTTAGGCGACCAGAAACCTTGTTCGTTGGTTCGAATCTCGGTACGCCCTGATTATGGGCCCCTGTTTGTCAGCCCCATGATCGTGGGTTTCACCACCCACTTCAAGCTGACACACCGTGATACCACTACAAAATTGTCGACGTCAACCCGAACCTCACACTACTTGTTTTGTTACAGGTATATTATTTATTTGATATTTATTGCAAGTGAATAAACGAGGACCCTTGAAGATCCGGGTTATAAATGGTCTTAACCAACTTACATGTATGCGTGTCTAAGAGGCGACCTGCGGGATCAGGCAGTCAGGCTCGCTGACTTGGTTGATGCATGTCATGTCGAATCCGGGGCGGTGGGGTAGCCTAATGGTTAAAGCGTCCGCCCGTCGCGCCGAAGAGCCGGTTTCGATTCCCCACATGGGCACAATGCGTGAAGCGCATTTCTGGCGTACCCGTCGTGATTTTGCTGGAATGTTGCTAAAAGCTGCTTAAAACCATGCTCACTCACTCATCGAATCCCAATTTCGAGATCGATACGCATGATCAAGCAATAGATTAGTCCACACTCGATTATTTAGATATATAGCTGGAATATTGCTGAGTGTGACGTTAAACAACAAACAAACAAACAATAAAGAAATAAGAAAGAAGTATGGTGATGTATTTGGCCGAATGATGGAGCCTGGTCGTACCTCATACAACATATTCCCTGCCCTGTTTGATGCGAGGTCTGTATCAATCAGTCAAGTACAGTTAGACAGTATCCACGTCTGTACAGATCACCGTGATGATGTTGAAACTAAAGCTTATCATGCCATCAATGAAACATATGGCGTCGTGTGTAATCTGTCATCGCCTCCTCCACCTTGTCAATCCAGATCAGCTGTCGTCCACAATCGATCCAACTTAGACCCTATTCCACTGTTAGCTCCATGTCATGACCATCGTGATCTGCATTCGGTGGAATGAGTTAAGGGCTGTCGTATCTCTCAAACAGGATTGTAAAACAGTGTCGTGTTGGTCGCCGTCGATACAGTGTCCAAGAGTCGTGGTTTTGGTCGCATAGAAAAGCCACAAAAAACATTACTTTTTCATAATCATAAGAAATAGGTACTAAAAGCAGGGTCGATTGTACGATTCCGACCATATGATAAGCATGTGTTTATGAATCACTATCATATAGTGATGATACCAGTCATTCGCGAAAAGGTGAGCGTATCCTGCCCCTCAGGTGGTACCCGTCACAAACACATGCAAAGGCAAGTCATGGTCAAGTCATGATCCATCCATCCTCATCTTCAACTTTGAAAAAAAGATATTAATGTTGTAAAACTATACAAAACATGGGCACTGTGTGTGATATGAGGAAGTGGTTTGTCGTTTTTAAAAATATAAAAAAATCGTCTCTTATTAACTCTCTTATACGCGCATGAAACCGTTTATTTCAATTTATAACTATTTTATTTGTAAATGATATGACGAGAGACTTTAATAATTTATTTTTATTTTCAAGGCAAGACATAAAGCGAAATATGTTTCCAGTCACAACCTTATTAGATGGCTGGCTAGTGGGGATTCATTAATAACGTTATTCTAAAACGGACTTCCGTGTCGACATGTTCAAACAGATGTATACAAGTGCGTCAGCAAATATGCATAACACAGCAGCTGTAAACGAATATGTTAAAGGAAATTTATATCATGCAATTTATGGATTTATTCTCAAAAGGCGGATATGAAATAGGACCTATTTGCTATAACTGAGGATAATATTTTAAATAAGAAATGATCATGAGAGTTATCAGATATGTTTATATGAATGAGAACTAGACTTTGTTCATTTTGTTCATGGCACGTTTGGAGATAATGCACAGGTGAGAATAAAATACACTACCGAGCAAAGGAAAGTATTCACACATAGTGGTAGCTAAACATTGAAACAAACAAGAACTGGTTATTCGATGGGGATGTATTTGATACGGGAACCATGCATCACATCAATGAGTATCTCATACAAGGTCACTGTTTTGATCATAGTAACGGTTAAATCCAACTTTTCAAATGAATACTTTCTTTCACCTGTAAAAATGGCTGATTTTAGAATTAAGGACGTGTTTTGCTAATATTTGTAAATGAGCAAGTGTTTGATCGGAGCTGGTTTTCATAAGCGGTGTAGAAAAAGACCCAGTACAAACATGTGGTTACAGATCATCCGGGGCCAAGGAATTGTCCATTTATACTCATTTTACTTACTATATATTTAATCGTGTCAGAAGTCCAAAACGTGCATGTATAAGAGTGAGTGAGTTTGGTTTAACGCTGCTTTTAACAGTATTCCAGTTATATCACGGCCTGTCAGCTTAATGTGGGAGGAAAGCCCGAAGTGATGCAGGTCTTTGACGTTTACCACTTCGGTGAAACCCACGAGCGCGGGTATGGTGCTGACAAACCTAGAAACATAATCGTGGCAAACCGGGATTCGAACTCACAATCATAGGTTTCTGGCGTGCCTTAGGGACGCAACTCTGTACAGCGAATGGCCGCGCCTTAGACGACTTGTCCCCCATGCATGCATGATAAACAGGCTTTAGTAGGGCGTGTGGAGGAAATAGCAGTCGCTGTTTACTTTATCACCGAAAGTTGAAAAACAATGGGTGTGCACACGGATATAAAAAGGGATTCACCTGCAACGAGTATACGCCAACTGGAACAGGTAACATTACACCTCTTGTCGAACACGCCCATTTGGCACTTCACAATTTTCCTCGTAGCTATAAATAAAAAAAATATTTCAACTTCATTTGTTCAAGGGAAGGCGTGAGGAAGGTAGGAGACTATTTAGGTAAACTGTCATATGGTCTGCCCAATAAATGGTATTTTGCTAATTATTTGTATAATAATTGATGATGACACTGTAATTGATAACAGTGTGATAATGTTGTGTCAATGATAATCCGAGGAATTGATCGCTGTGTAGTGTCAATGATAATCCGAGGTATTGATCGCTGTGTAGTGTCAATGATAATCCGAGGTATTGATCGCTGTGTAGTGTCAATGATAATCCGAGGTATTGATCGCTGTGTAGTGTCAATGATCACCCGAGGTATTGATCGCTGTGTAGTGTCAATGATAATCCGAGGTATTGATCGCTGTGTAGTGTCAATGATCACCCGAGGTATTGATCGCTGTGGTGTGTCAATAATAATCCGAGGTATTGATCGCTGTGTAGTGTCAATGATCACCCAAAGTATTGGTCGCTGTGTAGTGTCAATGATCACCCGGGGTATTGATCGATGTGTTGTGTCAATGATCACCCGAGGTATTGATCGCTGTGTAGTGTCAATGATCACCCGAAGTATTGGTCGCTGTGTAGTGTCAATGGTAATCCGAGTTATTGATCGCTATCTTGTGCCAATGATTACCCGAGGTATTGGTCATACTTATTGTGTCAATGATAATCCAACTTATTGATCGTTATGTTTTGTCAATGATAATTCCGATGTATTGGTCGCTATCTTTTATCAATGATAGTTCGAGGTATAGATCATAATGCTGTGTCCATGATTATCTGAAATATTGGTCATAATGTTTTGTCACCCAACTGAATGACACTGAACAAAATAATAGGCATATTCTGACACACCTTTCATGTTTTGATCATTCACAATACGGCCCCGACACAGTGTAGCTGCTGTATTGTACATGTAGGCGATGAATCACTTCCTGCCCATATTTAAAATAGTCTTTAATGTCCAGAGAAATGTTCCAACCAGCAACCCATGCTTGCTGTAAAAGGCGACTATGCTTGTCGTGAGAGGCGACTAACGAGATCGGGTGGTCAGGCTCCCGAACTTGGTTGATGCATGTCATCGTTTCCTAATTGCAAGGATCAATGCTAATGATGTCAATCATTGGATTGCCTGGTTCAGACTCGATTATTTACAGACCGCCGCAAAATAGATGGAATATTGCTGTGTGCGACGTTAAACAACAAAGAAACAAACAAAACGGCACAGTTAGAACGCCGCCATTAGCGTATACTCGTCCAGGAAGTAAGCTTTAATGGATGTCGAGGATCAGGTGTCTGGTGGCGTTACTGCAGCAGGGGGAAGAGGGGAATGTTAGGGTATCTCAGCATCCACAGGTGTAATAAATATGTCATTGCATGTGTGTTCGGTTATATTCTGATTGCATACAGGCAATTATCAAGTTTACTGATAGCCGGGTCGTCAGTCATTACAGCGACCTCATCAATTACTTATGCTCGGCAACAGATATGGACGAAATGTAAGACAAGACCCGTGAACAGGGTACCAGAAAAATAAGTATAGCATAGAGACTGGCTTCGTGCCAGCCGTGTTTTACGACACCATTATCACGATTAACATGTTCTTTCTGTCACGTCTACGACCTAAAATATCGATTATTTTAATATATTTTAATTTTTTTATCGGTAATCATTACAAACACGTAACAATCACGTGTACAATCTACTGTAACGTTGTCAAGTAAACCTAAGCGTATTATTATGTGAACATTGGCAAAAATTACTTTAAATGTAGTCATGACTCTTTCTCCCTGAAGCCCTAAACACAACGTGACCATTTAATCCACATGTATTTCATGACCTCCCACCACAAATATATTCTTTACGCTCTGATAAACTCCCACGCCCTTGTCACCGATTTTCGTAAGGGCCTTCTTTTACTAAGTCAGGAATGCAGGTTATAGGCATAATTCACTGAAAGAAGATCTATGCGGTCACGTGACTGACTTGGTAGTGACAGATACACTCCTGTAGTGGCCGCCTTTGTGTCACAGTTGGGTAATTACACTTGTGATCGAGAAGCAAGGTGATTCGGCAGCATGGCAAAGGACGCGTTTTGACACGGTTTTAACGTTCGGTGTTCGGAGGTGCAGGCACACTAATTGTTCAAGTAAGTAAGATACTGATGGCGTTTAGATATTTATATTCAGATCAGTGTGGATTCATTGGTGTGTGCTAACAGTATACCTGTGCAGTTTTAATAAAGCAGGAAGTAGTGGAGATGATGTAGACTAATAATAATAATAATCATCATCATCATCATCAAATGATTGCTTCTAATGGTGACTGGTCAGGTTTTTTTTAATCATCATCATTATCACCATCATCAAATGATTGCTTCTCATGGTAACAAGTCAGTTTTTTTTAGTAATGCTTTGTTTGTTTGATGTTTAACGTCGCACACAGCAATATTCCAGCTATATGACGGCGGTCTGTAAATAATCGAGTCTGGACCAGACAATACAGTGATTGACATCATCAGCATCGATCTACGCAATTGGGATACCAATCAACCAAGTCAGCGGGCCTGACCACCCGATTCCGTTAGTCGCCTCTCACGTCAATCATACTCGCCTTTTACGGCAAGCGTGGGTTGCTGAAGACCTATTCTATCCCGGATCTTCATGGGTCTTTTTAGTAATGTAATAGGATATTACAGGTTTTGATCCGGGGGCACGGGTGGCCCAGTCGCCTTAGGCGCCGCGATTCGCTGTGCAGAGTTGCGTCCCTTGGGCACGCCAGAAACCTATGGTTGTGGGTTCGAATCCCGGTTCGCCCCAATTATGTTACTAGGTTTGTCAGCACCATACCCGTGCTCGTGGGTTTCACCGAAGTGGTAAACGTCAGACCTGCATCACTTCGGGCTTTCCTCCCACATTAAGCTGACACGCCGTGATATAACTGGAATACTGTTAAAAGCGGCGTTAAACCCAACTCACTAACTCACTACAGGTTTTGATCCACTTAACTTTTCTGTCAAGCCTTTTATTCGTATGAATGTCATAGCCCATATACAGATCAAGTGCATACGTACATATTAGAATGGTACATGAATTAATATGTAACTTATGTCTTAGTATATCTAGTGTTTGCAAAACTTTGTCTCACTTCATAAGTTTGACATAATTATTTCCATAAGTTTCTTAATAACCTTACACCGTTGGAAGACAGAAGCGTTCTAAATTTATAGATATTCGGATTATGGGAATTCAATACATTTCATGTCAGATAGAGGTGTCTTTTGTTCTTATAGGAGTTACATATTAAGATAAAATGATATTCATCTTCTTTCCATAGATTACAAAGAGAACACGAACGTAAACTTAATTCAACATTGTCACCCTTTGCAAGTATATATTGAAGGCCCTGCAGTTTACATGCTCATCGATCAAAGCTCCCTTTAATTTACACGAACAGTATTTCAGATACAGGTGAACAACTTATTTTAATAGTGTCTTTTTTGTTCTTTCACAACTAAAGATGTAATGAAATGTCACCTATGTCGAGCACTCATTTTTGTGGTAGGTGTCCTTCAGGTGCTAAATGACAACTGGATGTAGTTTTTGAGTTGAGCTGATACTAATTGGAGTCCATGTTATGTGCCCAAGGTTGAAGTGAACATTAATTGTCAGCCCGCACCTGGTACACCTGTCTCCCGTGGACACATATATCATACATCACGGGAAATAGAGCGAGATAAAACCATAGTATCTGCCTCGCCTTGTCCTTCCACGGAACTGTGCCGTTTAATTCCGTGAAGTTGTTTTGTTGTTTAAAGCCGCGCTTAGCAGTATTCACGGCGGTCTGGTAATGATCGAGTCTGGGTCAGATAATCCAGTGATTGACATCATGAGCATCAATCTATGCAAATGGGATACGATGGCATGCATCAACCAAGTCAGCGAGCCTGACCACCCGATCCCGTTAGTGGCCTCTCTCGACAAGCATAATCACCTCTTACGACAAGCATTGTTTGTTGAAGACCTTTTCTAACCCGGATCTTTACGGGTATCCCGTTAAGTATAACAATGATAAAAGGATAGATTTGTTATGTCTTTTCTTCAGCAGTTGCCTGGTTACTTCCATGTGGTTCGAATGTAGGATATTGTACAAACAGGATTCATTACTGCCACTGAGTATACTGGATTAACCCAAGTCAAAGGTTTCTCCTCAGACAGATCAGGTGTTTCTGCTGATCTTGACATGTAGTACTGATATGTTTTAGTAGAGACGCTACATCTTCTCTAAGGAATACGATATATTGTTCTTGCATTACATACACAATGCGACCCGTGAAGATCTTAGAAGAGAATAGGCCTTCGTCAACCCATGCTTGCCGTAAGAAGCGACTATGCTTGTGAGAGGCGACAAACGGGATCGGGTGGTCAGGATCGCTGACTTGGTTGATGCAATTGGTTGATCCAAATTTGGTAGTTCGATGTTCGAGATGTCAAGCACTGGATTGTCTGGTGCAAACTCGAATATTTACAGACCGCCGTCATCTTGCTGGAATATTGCTGAGTGTGGCGTTAAACAACAAACAAACAAACAGAACAAAATATACACAATGCATTTTCTGTTACTTCGTTGTCCCTTGCACAAAACTACCATTGACAGTATTTTCGATTGCATCTCTTCGGGATTTCATCGGAATTAAGTCGACACGCCGTGATATAACTAATACTGTTCAAAGCGGCGTTAAACCCAACTCACTCACTCACTCTTACATGATGAGTTGGTGAGTATAGTTTTGTGCCGCGTTTAGCAATATTCCAGCAATATTACGACGGGGGACACCAGAAATGGGCTTCAAATCTTCACATGACGTTACTGAATGTCCTTTTGAATTACCACACTGACGTTATTCTCTCATGCTTTCTTCAAACAAAGACATTGACTTTTGCATTAAACTAGTTGTGACGGTTTTTTGATTAAGCAAACACTAACGTTTTTGCCACACAATGCACATAGCGTGTTATGATTTAACAAGAATAATGAATATTATAATATATATGGGAGAATGGTTTGAATATAATAAGGTCAAAGCTACACTCGGCATTTCTCCACGCCTCCATGATTAATCACAGTAATCAAACTGTGTTTCTCCTCGTGCATTGATGTTTATTTCATGGTGATGTATTGCACTCACGTGATATACGTGTTAAGTGCTACAGAGAGACTGCTCGTGCTGACCAATACTGAGTATGTTGTAAATCACTCATGTGTCTATAATCAAATATGGCCACGAAATCGATAAAATCGCTGTTACATGTACTATGTAATTTGGAGTTCGAGTTACGACAAGGCTGTGGTTACGAAATGCAGCCAATTTAAAAAAATAGTTTCGTCTTCAAAGAGAACATGGCTTATACACTAATCATTAATTGGTGTGTTGGTTTACGACATTTCGGAAATAGACGTGCTAAATAGCAGAATATCCTGTTGCCATGGCAACTATTGCAGCCATATTTTAAGGATTCAGGAAAAATGAAGCTTAGTTCCGGTGATCAGTAAACTTAATGTCTTTGCATTTGTTTGTAACAGGTGCCTTTTGACTTGTGTTTGCATGTGTTTGTAACGGATGCCTTTTAACTTGTCTTTATATGTGTTTGTGACGGGTGCATTGTTTACTTGTCTTTGCATGTGTTTGTAACAAGTGCATTTTGACTTGTCTTTATATGTGTTTGTGACGGGTGCCTTGTTTACTTGTCTTTGCATGTGTTTGTAACACGTGTATTTTGACTTGTCTTTGCATGTGTTTGTAAACGGGTGCCTTTTTGACTTGTCTTTGCATGTGTTTGTAACAAGTGCATTTTGACTTGTCTTTGCATGTGTTTGTAACAAGTGCCTTTTGACTTGTCTTTGCATGTGTTTATAACAAGTGCCTTTTGACCTGTCTTTGCACGTGTTTGTGACGGAGGAAATGCTCTCCATTTCGCGAAAACCAGGTGTCATGAATATTTGATAGTGATTCATTAACTTTTTTGATAAAGTCGGAATCCTACAATGGACACTGCTTTCGGCAGAAATGTCTTATTATTAATAAAAGGGTGTTTTCGCTTTTATTTACATGTGTAGGCGTAGTATCTGCACCTGTTATTGGACTTCTAGCAGTGTTTTGAAATAACAGCGATGATATGATGTGGGGTATCTCTTGCCAGTATGAATAGATGCATAACAAAGCGCTTCGTATATGCTTGCTTCCGTTCACACACAATGGATGATCGTGGATCGTGTTTAGGTTCTTCAGCTGCTGCTGTCATATGGTAGTTGTGTTCCTTAACTTGGATGGGTCGTTGTATTTCTCAGCTAAGAAATGATTTGCCTGTTGCTTCAGTCAATCCGGAAATTTAAATGTCTTGTTGCTTGACTCAACCAAGAGATTGCGATTGCATAGTTACCTTACATAGTCAAGATATTTTGAAGGCGTTGTTTCCTCACTCATCCAAGAGATTTTGAATGATTTGTTTCCTCACTCATCCAAAAGATTTTGAATGATTTGTCTCCTCACTCAATCAAGAGATTTTAAATGATTTGTTTCCTCACTCATCCAAAAGATTTTGAATGATTTGTTTCCTCACCCAATCAAGAGATTTTGAATGCGTTGTTTCCTCACTCATCCAAGAGATTTTGAATGATTTGTTTTTTTCACTCAATAAAGAGATTTTGAATGATTTGTTTCCTTACTCAATCAAGAGATTTTGAATGATTTGTCTCCTCACTCAATCAAAAGATTTTGAATGATTTGTTTTTTCACTCAATCAAGAGATGTTGAATGATTTGTTTCCTCACTCAATCAAGAGATTCTGAATGCGTTGTTTCCTCACTCATCCAAGAGATTTTGAATGATTTGTTTTTTCACTCAATCAAATGATTTGTTTCCTCACTCAATCAAGAGATTTTGAATGATTTGTTTTTTCACTCAATCAAGAGATTTTGAATGATTTGTTTCCTCACTCAATCAAGAGATGTTGAATGATTTGTTTCCTCACTCAATCAAGAGATTCTGAATGCGTTGTTTCCTCACTCATCCAAGAGGTCTTGAATGATTTGTTTTTTCACTCAAACAAGAGATTTTGAATGATGTCTTTCCTCACTCAATCAAGAGATTTTGAATGCGTTGTTTCCTCACTCAATCAAGAGATTTTGAATACCTTTTTTCGCCACTCAAGTAATACATCTTTGACGATGTGTCCCTCACGGAAGATAATTCCAAAATGCATACATCACCCACCCCTTTTGATTCATACTAAGCATAAATACAAACGGACTTGTTCTAAAGTGATCAGGTGAAATGTAATTATACGTATTATACTCTGTAACTAACTCATTTGATGCTCTACATTCAACAAAACCACGCGAAATTTCAAATAATATTTTTTTTCCTTTTCCAAAAGGCTGGATCCCCATTCGTAAAATGCACAGCACCGTCTCTCAATGAAACATGTTACATGCACAGTTGTGTTCTTCTACGGTCGGCGGCACGGTTGGTCCAGTTGTCTAAGGCGCCACAATTCGCTGTGCAGAGTTGCGTCCCTTGGACACCCCAGAAACCTATGATTGCGGGTTCGAATTTATGTTCGCCCCGATTATGTGGTAAACGACTAAGACCTGAATCATTTCGGGCTTTCCTCCCACATTAAGCTGACATGCCGTGATATAACTCGAATACTGTTAAAAGCGGCGCCAAACCCAACTGACTCAATAACTCTCCCGCGGTCAATGTTGAATGATGTCTTCAACGGCAACAAATCAGCACGGCAAGAACGTCACGTACACTTCCAGAATGATGAATGAATGATGAATGCGTTGATATATGTATGTCTCAGTTGCGAATGACGGATACTTTTATTACACTGCTCAAAATATGTTAAGGACCACCTGATTCTTTTATAGTACTACAGAGAATCTGTCATGGCAAAACATATTAGGGACCACCTGATTCTTCCATAGTACTATAGTGAATCTGTCATGGCAAAACATCTCAAGGACCACCTGATTCTTCCATAGTACTATAGTGAATCTGTCATGGCACAACATCTCAAGGACCACCTGATTCTTCCATAGTACTATAGTGAATCTGTCATGGCAAAACATCTTAAGGACCACCTGATTCTTCCATAGTACTATAGTGAATCTGTCATGGCAAAACATCTCAAGGACCACCTGATTCTTCCATAGTACTATAGTGAATCTGTCATGGCAAAACATCTTAAGGACCACCTGATTCTTCCATAGTACTATAGTGAATCTGTCATGGCAAAACATCTCAAGGACCACCTGATTCTTCCATAGTACTATAGTGAATCTGTCATGGCAAAACATCTTAAGGACCACCTGATTCTTCCATAGTACTATAGTGAATCTGTCATGGCAAAACATCTCAAGGACCACCTGATTCTTCCATAGTACTATAGTGAATCTGTCATGGCAAAACATCTTAAGGACCACCTGATTCTTCCATAGTACCGATTCTTCCATAGTATTATTATCGTAAATCTGTCATTGCAAAACTGCTTGAGCAGTATGTTCTCAATGCAAATGATGTATGGGGAAGATATCCTACCTGTGGATTATTGTTCAGCAGTATGCCAATAAATGTGCCGTTGAAATCCACATTCGCTGAAAGACCACAATGTAAGATTATTCATGTAACTTGACTTTCCTCATGTTTCAGACCTACTCATTATGGACATCCAGTATTTTTACAGTCTTCTTCTAATCTGCTTGTTATCAGCAAATGCATATGGTAAGTTCTTCAAACTTCGTCCGATGCTATTTTAGCAATGAAACAGTATGCAAATATTAACCACTTGCAATTAAACGAATTCTAAACGTTACAACTCAAAAAAATTATGGACAATCACATTCGTTTATATTATTATAGTTAACCATAACCGATTAACCTTATAAGAGGAAAGCATCGGTTGTCCTTAATTCTCTTGAGTAGTATACTGGCCCCATTAAGGACATGAATTATATAAAAAAACTATGTATTGAAAGAAAGTATTGTTTAGAACTGTTTTTTTCTGGTATAGGAATGTTTCCATCAAATCACTGACACACCATCTTGTACATGTGATTGAAGAATGCGACATTTGATTGCTGTACGCTGAACGCGACAGCAGTGATGAATGACTAAATTGTCTCTCATACTACACAGCATCTACAACATCCCCTGCTCCGTCGTCACAAGAAGCTACTTCAGTCGAACCGGCATCAACGACGGTAGCAACGGATTCTTCTTCAGCAGTAGCAGCCAGCAGTTCGATAGCACCAGGGGCATCAACTGACACAACACCACCAACTACTACTACAGGTTCTGCAAGTGAGTGATTTCTTAACACTACTGTCTACAGAGAACAGTATTCCGTCATCGGTCTAGTGTACAGGTGATTCAGGAAAGTCGTTACTTGACACTACTGTCTACAGACAACAATACTCCGTCATCTGTCTAGTGTGCAGGTGATGCAGGTAAGTCTTTACTTGACACTACTGTACTCCGTCATCTGTCTAGTGTACAGTTGATTTCAGGAAAGTCGTTACTTGACACTACTGTCTACAAACAACAATACTCCATCATCTGTCTAGTGTACAGTTGATTCAGGAAAATCGCATCTTCCCGAGGCAAGAGAGTTAACTAACTATAAAAGTCCAGTTTCCACCCTTGCCTATCTAGGCTGGTATTATGGAGTTACATTTTGGCTGGACTAACGAGTCAATGCATAGTCCAATCAAAATCGCGCAACGAAATCGAAAACCGGTTCGTGAACTGTCATGCAGATTTCGGTCGATTGCATGATTTACAAAGCATGTGCACCGCCAACTCGTTGTCAACAGATATTTTTCAAATCATTTCATGTTTTTAATCAAGGTGCTCACGTGATTTGATGCACTTCACTATGTAAAACCCGTTTAATCATAATATAGATCTTCATTATCGATCAGATCGTCTTGACTGGGCGCCGCCATTTCGTTTGAAACAAATGCCAGTGATACGAGAGGTGGAATCTGATTGGTCCATGGGAAAGGTTTAGAAGGGACATAACTTGTAATAACCACTGGTGGCGCTACGATCGAGCCCAGGAATTCCAGCCTAGTTCGGCAAGGGTGGAAACTGGACTTTTAAAGTCAGTTAACTCTCTTGCCTCGGGAAGATGGGAAAATCGTTACTAAACACTACTGTCTACAGAGAACAGAACTCCGTCATCTGTCAAGTGTATAGGTGATTCAGGAAAGTCGTTACTTGACACTACTGTCTCCAGAAAACAATACTCCGTCATCTGTCTAGTGTATAGGTGATTTAGGAAAGTCGTTACTTGACACTACTGTCTCCAGAAAACAATACTCCGTAATCTGTCTAGTGTATAGGTGATTCAGGAAAGTCGTTTCTTGACACTACTGTCTCCAGAAAACAATACTCCGTCATCTGTCTAGTGTATAGGTGATTCAGGAAAGTCTTTACTAAACACTACTGTCTACAAAAAACAATACTCCATCATCTGTCTAGTGTACCGGTGATTCAAGAAAGCCGTTACTAAAAACCTATTGTCTACGGGAAAATGTGTTTACATACGGGTATTTTCGATAAACGTTTACAATAATTATAAAATATTCTTGGCTCCGAACAACTTTCACCTGTTGTTTCAGATGCATCATCCACGTCAGTAGCAAGTCAACCTGACATTCCCACGACCAATATTCCATCGGCGTCAACAAGTGCTACGCCTGTGGAAACATCCAGCAATATCCCGTCTTCCTCCTCCTCCTCAAGCTCAGTGAACTACTCCGGAACTTCAAATGATGTTACCTCCCCTGGTCCCACAGACAACTCCTCTGTGAGCCCAACCTCTCCCAGTTCAACGTCCAACTCGTCTCTAAGCACAGTTGATACGACTCCCACTACGACGTTCATCTCGTCTGTAAACCCCGGATCGACTTCCGATGCTTCAGTGAACACTTCCGATGCCACATCAGCATCAGCATCTTCTGTCACAGCAAGCAACAGTGCAAGTTCCACAGCCAGTCCAACACCAGTAACAACTAACTCATCAACGTCAGAGGAAGTAGCATCCACAAGCACCCCATCCAGCCCGTCCGGGAGTCCTGCGTCCAACGCATCTGAAACTCCCGTTGAAAGTAGCACTGGCGGTACAAGCGCTGGATCAGATACTAACACATCTGACCCCAGTACCGCATCTTCGACACCATCTACAAACCCATCTTCTTCAGCAGCATCAGATTCATCTCCAACGTCGACAGATTCCACAGCGTCCTCGCAACCAACGTCTACAGATGCTCCTGTGGAATCGACAACAGTGACACCTGCTGCTCCTGTTGAAGCAACACAGCCTCCACTGAGTACATCATTTCCTTCCTTCGCTGCAAAAACAGGTGAGTCCGTGGTTTGTTCAGTCTCATTTAATATCAGATCATTTACCCCGATACGATACCTCTCTGCATGAGAATACGTCCAGATGTGGTGAGCTCACGTCTGGTGAGCGAGTCAACCAATATAAGTTGTGGCTTCCAAATTATCAGTACGAGTGAGCGAAGCATTCAGACAATCATTCCTGATTTCCTTATCTCCGAAACAAATATGATCGAGGTATTCCGAATGCAGAATAATAAAGCAGGACTATTTTGTACTCCGTCATGATGCCGTTATGTTATTTTGTATCTTTCTTCATTCTGTTGCTTCTGAACAATATGGCATTTACACCAAAAAAGGCTGGACTATCGAGGTATTTGTTTTCCGTGGTGGCTTTTTCTCTCTCATTGTTATTGTCGAATTATGAAACCGAATCTTTTCAGAAAACTGATATCTAATTGGCTTAAGAAGCCACATACCCTTCATTTAGATGGGGCAATTAAAGTTGGCTCAGGGTTCATTAGACGCGAAATCTTGTTGAGTCGTCCTCGACATTTCACGCAGAGGTGTTAAAGATATGTTAAAGAGTTTGTGGTGTGTCGAGAGCAGAGGGGTGGCATAGTGGTTACAGCGTTCTTCCTTACGCCGACCGGGTTCGATTCCTCACTTGGGTACAACATGTGAAGCCCATTATTGGTATCCCATGTGGCGATATTGCTGGAAACGCCTTATGAACGTCTAAATTGCTTTCCCCACATAGCGTTGTTATTGAATATGTGGCCAGGTGTCATGTTGGATATAACATTGTTATTCTGTATTGAATATATGGCCAGGTGTCATGTTGGATATAACATTGTTATTCTGTATTGAATATGTGGCCAGGTGTCATGTTGGATATAACATTGTTATTCTGGATTGTAGATGTGGCTACATGTGTAGGTGCCATGTTGGATATAACATTGTTATTCTATATTGTAGATGTGGCCAGGTGTCATGTTGGATATAACATTGTTATTCTATATTGTAGATGTGGCCAGGTGTCATATTGGATATAACATTGTTATTCTAAATTGTAGATGTGGCCAGGTGCCATGTTGGATATAACATTGTTATTCTATATTGTAGATGTGGCCAGGTGCCATGTTGGATATAACATTGTTATTCTATATTGTAGATGTGGCCAGGTGTCATGTTGGATATAACATTGTTATTCTATATTGTAGATGTGGCCAGGTGTCATGTTGGATATAACATTGTTATTCTATATTGTAGATGTGGCCAGGTGTCATGTTGGATATAACATTGTTATTCTATATTGTAGATGTGGCCAGGTATCAGCTATCTCTGGCGTTTGACGGTGAAAACAACGGCCCTACGACGTCCTGCAACGATTCGTCATTATTAACGGAGGTACGACACAAGACAAGCTTAAATAGCACTTCTTCACCCAAGCTGTTATGATTGCTGTAAAAAAATTTAAAAAAATTGTCAATCTCAATTTCTTTAAATTCATATCGCTGTTAAACTCGAATTTCTTATATTTACAAAAAAATGTCCATGTATATTTATACAACTTGCAGGAAAAATAATATGCTTTACTGCTCTGAATGAACTAATAATAAATGTACTATAGACCTGTGGCCTTCTCAGTGTGGAAATACGTAGTACGGCATTATTCATTAATATGTAGAAGTATTGAGGAAATTGTTACCAAGCAAATAATGAAGGAGATTTGAGTTTAGTATGTGTATTACATGTAAGTAAAGTTGTGAGAACGTATTAATTCTTATTTGGGACAAATCCTTTTTAATTCAGCTTGAGGACCGATTAAAAACAACAGACGGCTACTCGGAAGTAATTCGCACTAGGTGAGTGTATCATTTGTACATCTCAGTATATCCAAAGTTAAAATAGTTTTTAATTGATAACTGAGATTGTTTGTTTGTTTGTTTGTTTGTTTCAATATTATCACCATGATGTGTACAGACTACCTAACTGAACCTCATTGAATATTACAGATCAAGCGTCAAACAGGACAGGGAACATTTTTAAAAATAAAATGAATATGTACGATAATGCTCTCTCATTAGGCCATATCATGACACTTCTTTTTATTTTTTGTATTGTTTTTTGTTTTTTTTTATAACGCCGCACTCAGCAATTTTCCAGCTATGTGACGGCGGTCTGTGAATAATCGAGTCTGGACCAGACAATCCAATGACTGACATCATCAGATCGATCATTGCGATTGGTATACGACGACATGCATCAACCACGTCGGCGAGCCTGACCACCCGATCCCGTCAGTCGACTCATACGACATGCATAGTCGCCTCTTACGACCAGCATGGTTTACTGAAGACCAATTCTAACCCGGATCTTCAGGGTATTTCGTTTAGAAGATCAATGATCTATGCGATTGGGACACGATTACATGCAGCAACCAAATCAGCAATTCTGACCACCTGAACCCGTTAGTAGTTACTTTATACAAGCATGGGTTACTGAAGAACTCTGATCCGGATCGTCACGGGGAGATTACATGTGTCTACTACCTGACACATTATGTTATAAAATCATTGTCATTGTCACCTCCATTTGTGTGATCACAAGCGTGGTTGGGTAGTCAAGTGGGTAAAGTGTTCACCCGTCACGCCTAATGCCCGGGTTCGATTCCTAAAAGGAGTACAATGAGTGAAGCCCATTTCCGGTCTCCCCTGTCGTTATACTACTGGAATATTGCTAAAAGCGGCGTAAACTCACATTCACTCATTTGTGACACCGCCAGTATATTAGATTTTCGTATGTATGCTGATTTCACCCTAAATGAAGCAAGTCTAGAATTACCACAGGTTCAGACATCTCACTGGTGCTCTTTTTCGATTTAGATTTAAATGGAGTTGTTTTTTTCTCTCTTATTATATATATTTTCAGAGACTTAGTGTCAGTCAAAAGCCTGCTGTAACGCATGTTGCATTGTTTTCAGCTCCAAGATGTTCTCCGCGGTCTACAAGGCAAAACATCTCTACGGTAGGATGGCAAATGTGACGACAAAACAACTTGAAGATGCCATGTCTCCAAATCCCAGCTGTTTCAACTACACGGCGTTTAATGATAGTTTTCAACAAGCCTTTGGAAAATGTGAGTATTACATGCGATTATGTATTATATTATAAATGTGATTCTTTTATGGACGCTTCGCAACATGTATGCAAAACGGTCGAGAGAGAAAAATGCAAGGGACATTACTCTTGAATCCCTAGTTCATTGATAAAAAGATTTGTTTTGTTTGTTGTTGTTTAACGCCGCACTCAGCAATATTCCAGCTATATGACGGCGGTCTGTAAATAATCGAGTCTGGACAAGACAATCCAGTGATTGACATCATGAGTATCGATCCACGAAACTGGGGTACGATGACATGCATCAACCAAATCAGCGAGCCTGACCACCCGATCCCGTTAGTCGCCTCTTACGACAAGCATAGTCGCCTTTCACGGCAAGCATGGGTTGCTGAAGACAGTATTTGAAATATTTCTTCGACAAAGTGGTCAAATAGACTCCACACGTAAATGGTTCAAATGGTGTCCATCGTCCAATTGACTTGCGCGTCATTGACGCGTTTCCCGTGGGCGGTATCTTTTATATTTTAGGATTAAGACATTTCTGTTGCTTAAAAATTAGGCAGTCCTAACATCAATACCGGTTTAAGTCGGGTTTAGTCGGAATCGCAATATTCCAACTTTATCAATGCGTCTGTAAGTGATCGAGCATATGCCAGGGAAACAAGTGGCATTTCACAAGCAACGACCTCTGCTTTGTTCATGAAGAATAACGGGGTGGGGTAGCCTAGTTGTCACAGTCTTCGCTTGTCATTTCGAAGCCCCGGGTACAATGTGTGAAGCCCATTTACAAAACCCGCCGTAATATTGCTGGAATATTAATAGAAGCGGCGTAAAACCACACTCGCATACTCACTCAGAAAAATAGCAGTAAAACATACATATATAGGTGCATCAATATTTAGCATACCTGTATTATTAATGTATTACCAAAATGGTACAGTTTCACGCCCCGTGCCACGTTGGGCTTTCCTCCCACATGGAGATGACACTTTCTGTAATATAACTGACATCCTGACAAAGGCGACGTTAAACCCAAGTGAGCTCATTGAATCGTTGACGTACGATGTTTGAAAGTATCGACCCCATGCGTACCCATACAACTTTCTTCATCTTCTCTCTCGCACACTACAAATGGATTTTTGGAAGAAACATACATGCACATCCATTTATTATTTATTTTCTGAAACACATTTGCCTTTTTGTTTGCATATGGAACTGCAGATTATATGAGTTAGTGAGAGAGTGAGTGGGCTAGATTATCGCCACTTTTAACAGCATTCCAGTAAAATCAGCTTAATAAGTCAGCTTAACGTGGGGGGAACGCCAGAAATGATGCAGGTCTCAGACGTTAACCACTTTGGTGAAACCTGTGAGGACGGGTTTGGTACTGACAAACCTTGAAACATAATCGGGGCGAATCGGGATTCGAACCCACGATCACAGGTTCCTGAGGTGCCCAAGGGACGCAACTCTGCATAGCGTCGGACTATATGACAATGAGAAGGAGTGGTGTTTAACCTTTTTCCAGAAGTTATTATGTTGAACATTTCTGTTTGATGCTAGTTGCTGCTTTGACGGATGACTACTGCAAGGCCGAAGAAATCTGCCACACGGGCTACACGTGCAATGACCGTCAGGGGTCCCCTCTCTGCATCAGCTTATGCGAAGGCGTCGTTTGTGAGAACGGCGGAGCGTGTGTTGTCGTTGTCAAACAGGACGGTCAAGCTGCTGCTCAATGCAGGTATGAAAGATCATTGTTGGTTTGACGTGAAAAAAATATAACTGACTGTTAAAGTTCCACCGAGATTACAAATGTATTAAACGATTATTGAAGCTTTTCCATCGATAAATGTTTTTAATTTTGATCTCATTTGTGCGTTTTTTCACCAAATTCAGAAAATGCATTATTAGTTAAATAAACTTTCAATAATTGAAGAGTACACTTATCTCATTTGTAACTTTAATAAAATATAAATCATATTTTGCCCCACGAATAGATACGGATTCCCACTGATACTTTGGGTTGAAATCCCAGTTCCATCCGATCTTGTTTCTAGGTTTGTCAGCACCATACGCGTGTTCGTGGGTTTCACCAAAGTGGTAAAAGTCTGAGACCTGCAGCACAACTGACAGGCCGTGATATAACTGTCAAAAGCGGCGTTAAACTCACCTCACTCACTCACACTCACTGACACTATGATGAGTGAATGCTCCGTGGTTATTGCCGCTTTGAAATGTACTTTAAGCATAGGCGGACAGGGAGGGAGTGTACAGGGGCTCCGGAACCCCCACCCCCACCAACCCCTTAAAGAACCAAATGTAGTATGTTGTAGGCAGAGAGTATTTTGATATTTTGGACCTCTCCCTTTTAAAAAAATGCTGGTTCCGTCCTTGTTCGGTGTTATTTCGGAGGAGTGTGAGGAAATCCAAAAGTGACGTCGCAGATATGGTATATTGCTGCTACATTGTTATGCTTTTGGCGTATTAGGGGCGGTGGGGCAGCGTTTGCTTATCACGCCGACTGCCCGGGTTCGATTCCCCGCATGGGTTCAATCTGTGAAGCCCATTTCTGGTGTCCCCCGCCGTGATATTGCTGGAATATTGCTAAAAGCGGCGTAAAACCATACTCATTAGTTCTTGGTGTTTTCCAGGTGCACAGATAACAACGAGCAGGTGTTTTCCGGAGATAAGTGTGAAGTGGCACACATGAACCCGGATCGAGTAGCGGCCATAGTCGGGGCTGTTTTAGGGGCCTTCTGTTTCATCCTACTGGTGGCACTGTACTGTATGTGCTATAGGAAGCGAGAACGGACGGGGAAGAAATAGTAAGTACTTCGTATATACAACTTGCTTTGACTTTTCTTCTTGCAAATGTCGACCTACCGTATAATATGCGTATGTCTATAGCCTATATTGGTGCTGGCCTCCCCAAGGTGTGCCCGTACAAGCGTATGTTGCCGTCGTGTATTGGTGATGCCATGTCGTGGTTTGTGGTAGCGGGTGAACAGGGAAATTAGAAACGGTTGAAGGGTTGCTCGAGTCATATGCACGTCCCCAATCCCCGGGATGACATCCGGCAACATCATGGATAAAGGTCCATACGGAAACGTTAAAGGCGTAACATCTGATTATTTCATACCCCCCATCCCCTGCAGCCCCCCACCCCACAACACCCCACCCTCACCCCCTGATTGTTTACATTGATCAAGTACTGAATATTCCCCCGAAAATGCCAAAAATACAACAAATGATACAAGGAATACAATTCGGGTTTCGAATGCATTATAGCAGTAAGCAACAATAAAATTGTACCACTGTTTAGGCGATGCAGAGTTAGCTCCCTTACATCGTTGACATGATCTCGAGTGGAAACGTCACAGGAGGTTGTTCTGGACGCGTTGAATAAATTTCCTATATCCCGGGTAATGTTTAATCCTAATTCCCACCAAACCAAGGGCATCATGATAACAAGTGATATTATATGTGACCTTGACCCTAGTTCACATTGCCAGTATGGGTTAAAGACGTTGTTCATAAAAATACGATTCTCTTCTCATCTTTATGCCGAAAACCTGCATTAAATAAATCGTTACATATGAATTTAAGTGGTAAGTAACTATTAAATATATTTATATACCTAATGGCTATTATCAATATATAAAGCTCTGAATACCAACTAAAGTGACTAAGTCTTCCTTTGAAAGTAATTTAATAAAAAAATAAGTTAAGTAAATGCCATCTGTCATATTTTCTGACGTCATAGTCATGCTACCATGGTGATGGCGTTGCTAGGTGATGCTTGCTATGCTTGCCGACCTCCTGAGCAGTGTGTTTCTCTTTCAGTCATCTTTCTGGTGTATATAACGAAACCTATGACAGGACGTCTCTTGACATGAAGAATTTGTAGATAGGAATAAAAGGTATTAATGGTAAGTATGTCATGAAGAACCAATGAAGATCCGGGGTAGAATAGGTCTTAAGCAACCCATGCTTGCCGTAAAAGCGACTATGCTTGTCGTAAAAGGCGACTAACGGGATCGGGTGGTCAGGCTCGCTGACTTGGTTGATGCATGTCATCGATCCCAATTGCGTGGATCGATGCTCATGATATTAATCACTGGATTGTCTTGTCCAGACTCGATTATTTACAGACCGCCGTCATATAGCTGGAATATTGCTGAGTGCGGCGTAAAACAACAAACCAACCAACCAACGTAAGAGGCGACTAACAGGATCGGGTGGTCAGGCTCGCTGACTTGGTTTATGCATTTCATTGTGACCCAATCACAGAGGTCAATGCTCATGGTGTCAATCACTGAACCAGAAACGATTATTTACAGACCGCCGACATACAACTATAATATTACCGAGTGCGGCGTTAAAAAACAAACAAATCTCACGAGGTTTTTAAAAGAGAATTAGGTCTCAAGTGCACACGTACAATGTTTGCAATTACAATGTGTGGTAAATCTTTGTGCAGAGAATTATGTTTAAACTTCTGAATGACAAGATAACAGCTGTTGAATGTTTACTGTTACTGGGGGTATGTGCTGGCTTCTCACGCTACGCGGGAGCCCAGTCGTCTAGCTAAGGCTCCACAATTCTCTGAGAAGAGTTGCGTCCCATGGGCGCACCAGTAACCTATGATGGTGGGTTCGAATCCCGGTTCACCCCAGATAAGTTGTCCCCGTGTTCGAGTTAAGTTTTGTGAATTTAGTTACGCGTGCATTATGTACAAATACTACCTTCGAGTGTTGGTATATGTTCCTTGATGGCGGGAGACATATTTTAAAGGTACATTAAGAAGTTCCCCACGCCCTAAATCTGCTTGTCCTAATAACCCAACCAAGGTTAATGTAACAAACGTGACTCACCTCTGAACAACACAAACAAATTAAAAAATTAACAAAAAAATGCTGTCCTGTTCCGACATATTTAAACTTCAAACTATTTAAAAAAATACGTTACTTCCCATGTCAGCTTTCTAAAGACGACTTTATAGCGCTATTGTCAAAACAAAATCATCTCGGATAAAGTACGACCCATGTTGATACGACTGTGACTCCGGAGACGTGGGAATGTGTCACTGTCGAAGGCTCGTCATATCTCTACCCAGTATAATAGTAAACTTTATGAGAACGCCGGCGTTTTCATGAAGACGTCCCATCAAAAGGCCGAACTGGGCGTTGCCTCATAACGCTGTAAGCATATCTGGTTCTCATTGATACTGTTGTTGCTTTTGAGACACATGCTATACAGACAAAGTGACCCCGATGGGTTTGTTCGTGTTGGTGTCGTACATCGATTGCGTCTATTCATGGATAACGTTGAAAGTTGCTTTCTTTTTTAGTGTAAATGATAGCCTATTAGGGATTAAATGTATTCACCATGGTCTATGGGAGCGTATATCTTTACAATTACGCTTATAACAGGTCTTATATTAGCTTGGAGTTTTATCCTTCCCAGCCAGAGATATGTATATAAAGAGACAGCTACAGGTACAATGTCGATTTTATAGGAATTCGATATTCATTACTCAAAGGTATTACTTAAATGCTGGCTTACAGGGCTTTCCGGTAGTTTCATATAATTTCGTATCAGTTTGTGGGGACAGGAGTCGAAACTCGTCAGGTAGTGGATTGTTATGGATGGTCTTGGGACTGGGGTGTATCCACAAATTAGTCAAGGTACTTTCTTCTAAATCACAATACGTGCTAGGGTATCTGAGGGGACATGGGTGGCCCAGTCGTCTAAGGCGCGGCAGTTCGCTGTGCAGAGTTGCGTCCCTTAATTGGGCCCGAAACCTATGAATTTGGGTTCGAATCCCGGTTCGCCCCTGTTATGTTTCTAGGTTCGTAAGCACATTGTCCGTGCTCGTGGGTTTCATCGAAGTGGGAAACGTTTGAGGATTTACCATCACATTAAGCTGACAAGCTTCAAAGCGGCGTTATTCACTCACTCACTCACACACTCACTCACTCACTCACTCACTCGGATATCTGAATAATGAACTAAAGACAGAGTTCTTAGTTAGAGTGCTCGCGATTGTTACTGCTTTAGTCATTTAGAACTTCCCAAAGCACGAATGCATGCTTGATTTCTATACTCGGTCAATCTTTTGCGTGAAATTGTGTTTCTATTATCGCCGTCATACTTCAAATCACACTAAAAGTACACTTGACAGTTACTTATTTTCACTACCGTAAACGCGTACTAAAATACCTTTGGTGTGTGCGTATTCACAGGTAGATGGAGCGAGACGCCTCTGTCGACAGTTAGGCAGCGAGGTATACACAGTGAATGTGTGGTCACATGGTAACGCACTGGCACTGGCATACACGTTGCATTATGTCCTTTGTTTGGGATAAGTATGTGTGTGAGTGGGGTCGCATAAATGAAGAAATGGGTGCGCCATCATTGACGGAACTGCAGACAACGGCTGCGATATCAATGGCGTAACTGCTTTGACATCGGGAATTTTTTTTTGCGGGGGCCACCTGGATGTCAGTAGCGAAGTGTATTGATGGATATTGATGGCGTATGTGAGGGTGCTGCTCAGATTTTAATAGCTTTATTCCGAGGACCAGCTTTGTCATCGCGGGATTATTTTAGGGGACCAAACTATTGTCAGCTTTATTGGAGAGGGCCCTGACAACAGAAAGTACTTCAAGCTTACACAATACGTACACGGAGTCCTGATACATCGGTAAAAGAAGCAAGTTGTCAGTGCAGTTTTTTTATCTAATCATACATTACTACATTTATTCTGTTTCTTTTATTTCAGTTCCCAAGGAGATTTTACGTCCATGACAACACATCCCTAACTACGAGTGACTGTGTATTGTGTTACGCCGCTTTTAGCAATATTCCAGCAATATCACGGCGGGGACACCACCTCACTACGATGTTATCAGCAAATTACGATTGACAAAAATTGAATTATATTAATTACCGATTATCGAAACAGATCGAAAATCATGCCGTTATTAAAATAATACATGACTGTCCCATCACCTGGTTGTAAGGTTGTGTAGTTGTACCTACAATGTACACATTTTCATGTTCAACAATACATTATATATAGACGCATATTTCCATTTTAACCAGAGAACATTATAACTAACTTTTTAACATACAGTAGGATAATCTAACCAGCAATGAACTAACCAATCAAACTGCTGTACCATCTTGTGATATACAGTCCAGTCTATATTAGGGTCCCGTTCCACAAAGCGATAATCGATCTTAGCGCAAAGATGATCGTAACTCCCATACTTTAACATGTGATCACAGTATACTTCGCGCTGAGATCGTTTCGTAGAACAAGATCCAGATCAGGGATAGCTATATACATTCCAACAGTGCCCGTTCTATTCTTTTGCAACGTTCAAGTATTGGCATAGTTTGACATACTGATCTCGCGTGTACGGTCTTCTCAAACTTACACATTCGTATTCATACTCTATGAAGGATAAACTTTCATATTTTGAACTATTTTTCGATATTTTGTGAACTTTAAATTACGTGGCTTTTGGCATTGCAGGGAGAAAGACTTTATTATGGACAATGATAGAACATGGAATCTACATGTATATTTTTCCACCTGAAGTGTCTTAGGTTATTGCATAGGTGACTGAAAATGTTGAGATTCCATAGTCACTGCACATGTCGATGTAATCAGTACATTTTTTTAAAAAAAGATTGTGTACATGGCATGTTATATTGTATATAAACATGTATATTTAGTGTGAATGTTTGAATGTGTATATTCTCAGTCCGCGATTTTCTGCTCCTTGATGTAAAATATTTTTGTCATGAATTTTTCTTTTTTTTATCATTTTCGTTCCGCAAGATCGCCCCACTGACATACCTGTCGGACAAAAGAAAGCATTCAGTTGAAAATTTGGTTTGACGAAAAGAAATTGCAAAAGTTATACAAATGTTACTTGTCTGAAAAAAGTCGCAGAAATACTGCAAACAGGTCCTAAAAAAACTATGATAACGGTTTCAAATACATCGCCATCGACAAACTGTTTCTTGTTTCATTTTAGCCACCATAAAAAACGGTGTATACCGTTATTGCACGGTTGTTTAGATTATAGGAAATTTTAGGGAATCAACAGAAAAAAAATGATATTATTTGTTTAGATGTACTTTTTGGTTGTGTCGTCATAGATGTGTGTGTATTGTTCGTATGCAAGGCATTGACGAGCAGATATTTTAACCATTGGAGGTTAATGCATGTTCTGAACTTTCATATGTAAGATTCCATTTATGTCATAATACTATCACATATAGAGGTTAAACGTATATGTTGATTATATCATCTACTGCTTATATAATTGTTTTATACCAATACATGTATATATATTGTAAATACGTTGTTGATTTGTACTTGAATATAAAATGAAATAAAATGTGTACCGTTTGTAATTTGTTTAATTATTTACTCGTATAGAGGATATGTGTACAGTCAATAACGTTCTGTCTCCTGGACGGAGTGTAGCAGGATTCCTATGTGTCATATTTAATCACTCGAATCCACGTACAAAAGTGAGTGAGTGGTTTAACGCCGCTTTGAACAATAGTCCCGTTGTATCACGGTGTGGCAGATTGATGTTGGAAGAAAGTCCGAAGTGATACAAGTCTTAGACGTTAACTACTAAAGGCATATCAACGAACACAAGTGTGATGTTTGAAAGCAGACTGATAATCAGGTTCAACCGGATTGGAACCAACTTCTCTGGATTCTGGCACGACTAAGGGGCGCAACTCTACACAGCTGGGTCACCCGTGCCCCCTGCTGAATGAAGAAGGCACGTCTATTTATTTAAGCTTCATCCCATAAGTCGTACGCCTCAATAGACACTGAGATATTGTTTGAGAAATACTGCGAAATATGGTCATAAATATGTATGACCGGAAATAAAAGGGGAAGTAAAATGTGTTATCTGTGTGCGAGACTTAGTCCGCATTTTATTCAGGTAGAAAACTGGAGGAGGAACAGAGCCTCCTCTGTCTTCATGAGGCAAGACACAATAGAGACACAGCTTCGGTTTCCTCGGCAGTCGGATCCCGTGAATGTTCCATGGATCATGGGTAATTTAGAAAGAGCTTAGCCTCCTCGTGTCTCACGTGTGGTCGAACTTCTCGGGCCTGAGTTCGAACCTGTTGGTATTTAGGTAACTCAAGGAATTCACAATGAGATGAAACTGTACAATGACATCCTGGAACATTTCATGCACAAACAATCGTATTATACAAAAATTGTAGACATTAGATGAGAAAAAAATGAATGAATGTATATCTTCTATCAACACATGTAAGGCATCCTACCTATTTGGTTGAATCATGAAATAGTTCAAGCACAAGTTTATATATTTTCTTTAGATCCCCTTCAAGTTGCACATTGTTGATGTGGGTAGTCAATCACACTTCTTGAATATTAACAACACCATACAAAGAGAATAGACACATTTTTCAACAAAATTATAATTTCAATACAAATTCCAAAATAAATATTTATTTAACTAATTGTCAATAGCTACTGTTACGAATTGAAATGTTATAATACGAAAAACAGTAAAATGACAATTATTCAAAAGACTTTTCTTACTCTTTATGCCTGGGCGTTACTCTTTATGCCTGCAAAGCTCATCCCTTGACGAGGAGTGGCTGTTAATTAAAACGACAAAAACCCTTTCCAGATGCGTAAATAAAATAAAAGCCACAAAGCGCTTTCCTTATTGATAAGAAATGTCTGCTGAAAGCAGATTCCGACTATAACATGAGCGTGTGTTTCTGAGTCACTCTCAAAAATGATGATACCAGGTGTTCAAAAAATACATCCTATTTTATCATATCAGATATATATGAACATTCAGTGAATATGGTTTTACGCCGCTTTTAGCAATATTCCTGCAATATCAAGGCGAGGTATACAGATTAACGCATTCACCTCTAGCCTACCCCACCGCCCCTCATTCAGGTGGAATTTAACGCGTCAGTACATCTACCTTAAAACGTTCCTTTGTAATGATTTTTCTTATTTTTCATTTCAAAATGATTCAAATGAATTCAATTGCACCAGTTCACCGATGCTCTGACTTCACGCGTATTCCCATGAGTACAGTAACTTGTTTTTACAAGGAACACTAGCACAAAGGAACTTGAAAAGAAACTATTCTATATAGACCTAACATTTTCAATAAAACATGATTTCGTATGGCTGAGGCCCAAAAGGCTTCCTTTATGAACTAACCCTAAACTAATACCAACCTATATGAAACGCAAACAAAAATGTCCCCGTTAACAAACATGACAGGAGTCAACAGGCGTCAACTCACGCAAACCACACCCATCCCGGTGACGGGAGCGGTAAAGACATCTGCTGGAAGAACAAAGACTGCTAGAAGTCACACCGACCTTCCCTCCCATCCATTTACACTGATGTAGGACAGTGGGAACAGATAAGGCATCAATGGACAAGTCGGTGGTCAAATATTGACATATGTACTGCCGCTATACATGTCCACATGGCGGCTGTATTGCCATGTCCTCAGAGGTGGTCATCGTCATTGACAACACCTGTCCAGTAATGTACAACTTAACAGAGTGCTACTGTGTGAGTTGGCAATTGTGAACTAACGTCATTTTCTGGTGGATTTAGTCCTCTTTGAAGTTTGCCACGTCGCACCGTGTTGTTGGAACTGATACAAGAATCATGAATTCTTCTCACGAACGGGAACATTGATGTTGGAGAAGGCCACCCACATCCCTCATCCTTAAAAATGTATCTATTATCTAATTATATGTACCCACTTCCAATATATGTATCTATTTCCATAGGTATGCTATAGGTATTCAGTCCATGAAAATCCTGGTGAGAATTGTTCTCCAGCAACCCCTGCTTGTAAAAGGCGACTAACGGGATCGGGTAGTCAGGGTCGCTGACTTGGTTGATGCATGTAATCGTATCCCAATTGCGTAGATGTACATGTACCCATATATACCTATCTGACCGCCTCCGAGTTCTTGTGGTAGGGCGTACCCCCGGGGAGAGGAAGGTCCGGGGTTCGATCCCCGGCCGCGTCATACCAAAAGACGTTAAAAGGTGGTACTTGTTCTTACCTTGTCTGGCGCTCAGCTTTAAGGGGCTAAAACAAGGACTGGTCAGCTCAGAATCAGTATACTGTGTCTGAGTGGAGTATTCATGTTAAAACTACGGTATGGTGTCTCAGTGGGCGAGCACTATGAAATCGGCATTAGTTCGGTGTAGTACATGCACGTCGCTATAATCTTGGAGGCGACGTTAAACCCCTTTTCACCTCACCTCATCTAAAAGTATCAACCTATCTGTACCTACATGTATATACCTATCTGCGTATCTGTACCTATATCTATCTACTATCTTACATTTATCTACTTGTTCTCTCTTGCACGCATTCACAGATTTCATAATTTACAACAGACCTACTGTCCCTTATCATCGCATGCCGGTGGATATCGCGATCAGGAAATCTTGACATATGATTATATAAAAAACGCCAACGCCAAAGAATAACTAGCTTCGATTATCCGCCGAAACATATTCCATTGGGCTTATATGAAAAAGCAAAATAGCGATGACGATAATATGAATGGATCACTGAAAATCAGTGATGACACCAGGTGTTCGCGAAACGGGTAAACATGTCCTGCCCCATCGGTAGCATCCTACATGCACCACTGATGCAACTGGGCTCAAAAGTACAAGTTTACCTACATTTGGTCTGCCATACCTACCCCCACGCACGTCACCACGCACCCTCTAGCTTTAACCGTACTATCGAGCTGTCCTATTGATTGAACTAAGAAATTAAGTCAAACATATCGAAGTGAACTACAACTGTTTAACAGCCCAAGCGCAACTGTTAACTTACAGAGGGATCAAACGTGAAGGTGGCTATACCTGAACCGCCGACAGTGGCACCGCCTGGGGTTAAACTTAAACACACACATTTCATTACGTCTTTGAAAGTGTTTACCATGGGTTCAATTTCAATGTTGAATAAAAATAATTTCGAACTTTCAATGTTCATGTTCCCCTCCTATAAATCCCCCGGTAAGTCCCCGCGAACACAGGCAGACATGTCTCGATGTCGTCCGCCAACTGTTATTGTCCTCCCGATGTTTGAGCATAATCCCGCGTTACATTACTTTAGTTCCTCTGCACAAGAGAGTCAACCTACTGTCTATACTGTATTGTGTATTTAAACGAGTATCAGAACTCAACAAAAACATAAATCTAGTGAGATTTTCATTATTTTACCGGTATGGTGCAGGTATGTAATTAAGCCAGCACCTGGCATTGGATTACCTGTGTTGTGAAGGTGTGTGATTTAATTAGTAGTTAGCATTCGTTTACCTCTATTGTGAAGGTGTGTAATTGAATAAATAGCTTGCAATTATTGTTTACCTGTATTGTGAAGCTGTGTGATTGGATTAGTAGCTTGCAATGGTTTACCTCTATTGGGCAAGTGTGGGATTTGAATTGTAGTTAGCAATGGCTTACCTGTATTGTGAAGGTGTGTGATTTAATTATTAGTTAGCAAAGGTTTACCTGTATTGTGTAAGTGTGTGTTTTAATTAATAGTAAGTAATGGTTTACCTGCCTTGTGAAAGTTTGTGATTTAATTAGTAGTTAGCAATTAGGTTTACCTGTATTGTGAAAGTGTGTGATTCAATTAGTAGTTGGCAATGGTTTACCTGTATTGTGAAAGTGTGTGATTTAATTAGTAGCTTGCAATGGTTTACCTGTATTGTGTAAGTGTGTGATTTAATTAGTAGTAAGTAATGGTTTACCTGCCTTGTGAAAGTTTGTCATTTAATTAGTAGTTAGCAATTAGGTTTACCTGTATTGTGAAAGTGTGTGATTCAGTTAGTAGTTGGCAATGGTTTACCTGTATTGTGAATTTGTGTGATTTAATTTGTAGCTAGCAATGGTTTACCTGTATTGTGAAAGTGTGTGATTTAATTTGTAGCTAGCAATGGTTTACCTGTATTGTGAAAGTGTGTGATTTAATTTGTAGTTAGCGATGGTTTACCTGTATTGTGAAAGTGTGTGATTTAATTTGTAGTTAGCAATTAGGTTTACCTGTATTGTACAGGTGTGTGAGTTAACCAAAAGAATGCACCGCCAGTGTTTCTACGTGTTTTGTGTGGGTGTCAGATTTAATTAGTAGCTAGCATTTATGGTTTAACTTTATTGTGCAGGTGTCCGATTTTTTTAGTTTGCCTTTATGCAGGTGTGTGATCTTACCAGTTTTACGCAGTCGCATGATATACCTGCAACTATCGGAGATATCTCATGTACTGTGATAGGGACAATACTCTTCAAGAGCACTTTCAACATTTTGACGTTAAAATCAAGCCGACCTGACTATGAAC